CTGCTGAATAGTTTTCTGACAGTTTAATGGAACGAACTGATGAACTGGCAGATTGCTGCAGCTCTGTAGAGAAACATCGGAACAGCCTGATTCATGCAAACGCTGCAAATGATATAATGTCAGTCAGTATGTCGGTCCGAACAGCCAGCAGATCATCCACAATGACAACAACTGTGGCAGCTCCAGCAATAAACTCCAATCAAACCAGACTCCGTGAGAGAAAGTTTAAAGCCGGACGGAGAACGCTGTGAATGAATCCTGACTTTTAGCCCTGATTTGGTTGCTTCCAGCAGATTTTAGAATCAGGACACGTTTCTGTCAGATCGGCTGTCATGTGGCGGCTAGTTGGAGGATTTGCAGGTTTCTTTGCTGTTGTTGATGGTAAAGAATGAACCAAAGCTGCAGCAATCAATCCATTAGTTGTCAACAATAAATTCATTTATTCTGATAAGGGATTAGTCAGTTTGAGTATTTTTTAAAATAAAAACAATCTAAATTCTGTAATTTCAGCTTCGTCCATTTGATGTTTTCTGGTTTCTTTCCTTCTTTGTGGCATTAAACTGAATATCTTTGGGTTGTGGACAAAACCTGCTTTAACTGTCTTTTTAGAGTTGAAATGTGGTCGCTGTTGTGTTTCATGCGGATGGTCGACACGCTGTTTTCTGCTTCGTCATCGTCCTGGTTAGGACACAAATGTTGTTTGATTTGTTCGACCTAAGCAAATAAAACCACATTAAATCCGGCAGAGTTGTCTCAGTCTGATCTGAGATCAGTTTTCACCTCAAGCTCGTCTTTATGGTTCAGTTTGAGATGAACAAAAGGTGATGGAAAGTGCTGCATCTGGAAGGAAATCTGGAGGATGGCACCATGTCCTGCTTCAGCGTCGACACCCGGATGTGAAGTAAGTAAATGACTCAGCGTGAAAAGTGACTAACTTTGTTTAAAGTGGCAAAACAATGTTTAAAATGGGGCTGCAGGTGGTCCGGTGGTTCGCACCGTTAGCGGCTCACAGCTAGAAGGTCGC